TTACAAGTTCCAATAGGAGAAGGTTTTAGAGAACATTAAAGATTTTAATGACCACCTTTAAAGCATGTGTGGGGCTGGCTCCTGGCTGTATTTCTAACTTGTTAGTCCATATGATTCTGAGTTTCAACAGAGGTCTTTGTTTGCAGTTAGCAGCTCGATGCTAAGAACAACAGAAGACCAGTCCTCTGCAATCAGGCCTTTGACTTCTATATTATCTTTTCAATATTATTTGTTTGAAGAATCGTTTGGAGCATTAAATGCCAGAAAATAGTGAAAAATGCCCGTCACATCTTCGAAAAACCCTGAAAATATAAATACGCTAAACTAAGAAGCTGGAACTTGGAAAGTTTAGGATTAACTGAAAATCAAAATAGCTGCCATAGTACTGTAATTTTCTTACAATCCATGAATCAGTTAATTCATTCTAGTTCAGTAAGCGTTTGTTTTCATGTTATACTTGCAATTCTAGTTATTATTTACTTCTACAGTTCATGCTTTATGTACTTTATCTCAGATTCTGGATGCACTGCCTCACTCTTTTTTTAATACGACATTTGCTCACCCCACTGCTGAAACTCACTTTACCTTCCTCTCATAAAAGAACTAACACATCAAACGGGAAACAGAGTGACTTGCTGCAACACACAAACAGCAGTAAAGTGTAAAAAAACAAACCACAGCAAGAGATGTGTGACTGCAATCGTATGGCAGCACACAGACCACAAACACAGCGACAGACTGCAGCTTTACAGTACACACAAGGACAGATCAGCAGCACACAAAGAGCAGAGGGAAGCCTGGGAAACACACAATTACAGTCCACTGAGCAGAGCAACAATGAACGAAAGCAGTGAAGCACAGAAAATCAGAATGCAGCTCTTTCTTTTTTTTGTTCTTGATGGCAACACACAAAGCAGGGTATATATACTGCACTGCAACAAACACACAAATAGGATAAGAAGTCACTTTATATAGTCCTGTTTGTGTTTGAGAACACACATTCAGACACGCATACACCATACAGCAGGATGTGAGAGTGCAGTGCTAGGGGTTACAAAAACTGTGGTTCTGGGAATTTGGGCAGCCAGAGCTGAAGTCACACACACACGAGGGCATTGGTGTTTTTAGACAGCCAGCATCCAGAGGACACTCGGAGGGGTCCTGAGGTGAGTCTGAGGACAGTTTCAACTGAAGACACACATGAAGTAAGGGAGGGGGGAATGAGGTGGTTTTGAGACAGGCACCGCTGTGAACACATGTCAGGGGGGACTGTGGTGATACCTGCGTGGCCCCTGTGGGCAGGTGCTTCCTGTCTCCCGCTCCGTTTCCTGTTCTTGCCTGCGTTTGATTGGGCCCCCAGTGCTCCTATTGCACGCAGCTACAGCCAATCCGCTATGAGCGTTAGCCTCATGCAGGGGTCTGAGCACAGCTGAGGATGTTAACAGAGCAGGAGATAAAAAGGAGAAGAGGCAGATATAATGACAGAGTGGCAGAGGAAGAAAGATTGAGAGAACAGAAGAGAAAAGGAAACAAAGAATATGAGGAGTAAGACAACATAAAGTTAAACATTAAGAAGGAGGCAAAATATGAGGATGATAGAACAGATGGGACAAAGGGAGTACAAGAGAAGAGAAGCAGAGCAGAAGGAGTGGTTATGAAGGGGCCAGTGTGCATTACACTCCTTTACTCTAAGTCATGAACTGCACAGAATTGCAAAGTGGGAGGATTTTTTTTGTTTTTTGTCTTTATTTTCTGCATTGGCAATTTTAGGGGACTGACAACTAGACAACTGGTTAAATCATACATGATTACCAACTTTGTTAAAAGTCCTTTTCCCCTTTGATTTAAAGTCAAAGGTAAAAGCATGTGTTCATAAGAACGCAGAAAGAGACTACAGTCTTACTAAGAAACTTGCAGTCACAGAGCTTAAAATTCAGTTGAGCTCATCACTAACAGTGAGCTACAGTTAAAAATTGTACTTTGTAGTAACCTGATAAAACATTAAGATTGTGTTGAGATTCTGGGTCAAGTTTAGATAAATTAAGCAGCTCTGGTGGGATATTTTGTCCCCATTTACAACAAAAGAGAATTCAAAATTTGCTGCAGCTCTAATTTGCTCTTTAGTCACAGCTGCTAAGGCCCTTGGCTCCTCTAGCATCTTGTGCCATCTACCATACCAAGGTGATGGATGAAGGATAATGTCTCAGAAACAAAGATGAAATAAATTGACAATCATTTTTAAAACTAAATTATGTACCTGCTGCAAGAAGAAGACCACATTAATTTTTTTACAAAGTAAAACTTTTAATCATAAACTGCACAACAGACATTACTGTTCTCTACTGTTACGGTATCTTATTATATCCACTTGCTGAACAGCAGCCATTGTTGCTACAAAAGGTATATTGTTATATTGATAAACACTTCAGATATCATTAGAAGTAAGATTATGACCTTATATTGGAGAAAAATACTTCTAGACCCTGCATTTCTTCCCACTTTGCAACTCTACCATAAATGCATCAATCTGTAAAGACTTGTACTGTAATTATTAAGGCAAAAAGTCAAGATTAGCATAGTCAGGAGCAAAGTTGAGGCTACATTCATTCAACTACAAACAGCAGATGGGGAAAAAAGACAAAAGATTTGTTTTCAGACATAACTTTAGTGCGCAGCCTTGTGAATGCATCCTGAATGGTGTTAGTTGGTTTGTTGTACAAAAGATGCATAGGAGGACATCAAAAGAGCAGCATCACCCATCTTGGCTTGAGCTTACACACTTTTGATTGATGGAGATAGAATAAAGGAGGGTTGATGGCGGCTCTGTTGTTGGTTTTTGGCAGTAACGTCCTCTAAAACACTGAGGCAGATTGCCTGGAGTCCACCTGAAACCACAGATTCGGATGTGGGAACCCAAATTCTGTTACATAATTGTACTGATAGTGAGGCCATCTGCTCATTCGCAAGTTGTCCTTTCACTTTATCAAGGTTGAGTGTACTCTCAGGGGAATGTGTGCGTGTGTGTGCCAGGTACATGACGCTGAACACAGTGAAACACACACAGTAGGACAGACAGGACACAACATCATAATCCCTGATTTTCATTTAGTTAGTGCTGAGCTGGGGGGGAAACCTGCACACTTGCAGTTCCTACATGGTTCTGTCTCACATGCACACGTTTGCCTTTCTATAGTTGTGAGGACATTCATTTGCGATAATGCATTCCCTAGCCCCTTACCCTAACCTTATCTAAACCTAATTATAAATTGCCCCTAGGAGGGAAGCAATTTAGAATCACCAATCAACCAAAGCTACATGTTTTTGGACTGTGGGCGGAAGCCGGAGCACCCGGAGAGAACCCACACAGGCACAGGGAGCACACACTAACTCCACACAGAAAAGCCCTGGGCTCGAACCCAGAACCTTCTTGCTGTGAGGCGACAGTGCTAACAAGCGTGCCGCTGTGCCACACTAATTCTGTCTCAAGTCATCTGTTAAGAATACACAATCTCACATGCACACACAAACATACTGTGCATAGTAGGTATATAGCCTTTTATGTATGTAAATGAATAAACATGGAACCAGAGCAACACAAGCACACAAACTTTCAAGAAAAAACAAAACACACACACACACACACACACACACACACACACAGAGTCTTTTGGTGAGTTAATAAACACACACATTGCGATTCCCCTCAGGGTCTGGGCAGGGCATCAGAACTCTGAACTAGGACTGATTTTTAAAGGGAATCACAGATTTCCCCATTCATCTGTACCTGACAGATGTATTCTGAAGTATAGTAAAATACTCATGAAACACAAACACCCAATCTATAAAGTATGAGAGGTAACCAACCTACACTGAACTAAGAGACAAATAAAAAAGTACTGATGAGAGAGACAGATGAACAGATGGGAAGGAGGACAATGATGAGGTCAGACAGAAGCACAGAGATACCGGTCACTGTGACTGCTAAACAAGACAACAGGTGATATGTCCTTAGAGCTGCACAAGGTAAATACATAAAAATACACTATATTAGCCTGGATGACAAAATGACACTACAGATTTACCCTGAGTTTAGTTTTTTAAGTGAAAACTGAGATTGGGTTTCAAAGTACAAAGTTGATCTGTGCAACTTTAAATGCATTTGTCCTTTGACCTTTTTCTTAAAGGATCAGTTCACACAATTTATAAAATACACACTTTCTCACCTAGTGATTCTGATATCTAGCTATGCAGATAGTGTGGTTTGGACTGAGAAATGGAGACAGAAATCTCAGAGATGAATGTCAAATAAAAGCTAAACTGCCTGCATGGCAAGATGCCACTAGAGGCAAATGAAGAAATGTGTTTGAATTTTGCTGAACTGACCCTTTAATCTCTGCTTTTCTCTCCTTTTCATCTAAATTCCCCAACCTCTTTTCTTTCTGTCTTCCTCTTCAATTTGTTTCCCTTCATACCCTGGTGTTGGAGCTGGTCCAGGTCCATGAATTTGCTGGGTTTGGGGTTGAATCCCATGGCTGCCTCCCGCTCCGCCTCTCTCCGCTTCAGCTGCTCCTGCTGACGGGCTCTCCTAGTCACCTCCTCCTGTAGCTCATCCAGCTCACTGCGCCCCGAGCCTACACACACAAATAGGAGATGAACATTAATGTGTGAATCAGTCAAATTAAACACAGGTTACTGGAGATAAATGCAAATACAATTACAACTACACACCTGTGTTGGTGCCGCCAACCCAGCTGGGTGAGGGCTGCTCCTGCAAGATTGCACCACTGCTCTTTGACTTTGGCACCGAACGCCATGAAGGACCTGACATCAGCACCCGTTTCTGTTGCCCCACCTCCCTGTACAGAGAAGCAACAAACAAAGAGGTCAAGAAAAATAGACAAAAGGGGAAAATGCTGAGAAGGCAAACAGTACAGACAGACCAACGTGTTCATTGATTGGTCTGTTGTTATGGACCACCACTGGACCGTTTATTGTTGCTGTTCATAAAGTTAAACTGAACAGAAGAAAATCAAGCATGACAAAGGAACCAAGAGAGGGAAAGCCAGTGAACCACAAAGAGAAAGGAAGAGAAAGTATTACTTGTGAGTTTCCTACCTGTCAGGGCTGCTGCTGTTCCTCTCACTGCTCTCGTACCCACTCTCCATCCTCTGAATCAGACGTGGCTGGTGTTCCACCCCTCTCAGAGGTGGAGGGGCAGGGGGACCCATCGTTCGCCCACTATCCAGAGACCTGGGCTGCACAAACCCCGCCTCCAACTCCCCGATCTCCCTCCCCACTACCTGTTGTAATCCTGGCTTTGTGGGTGGAGCGGTTCCCACCAAGGGGACAGTGTCGTGGGGCTCCGGAGGGTGAAAGTGACTGGGTGGGGCGTTGTAGGCAGGAGGGGAGCCTCTCTGCCGAGTGAAGATGCTGTCAATGTTCAGGGCCTCCCTCCTGGGCCTCCAGGTTGGCCTGTAGCGGCCTCCAGAAGAACTGGAGAGTAAGGGAGTAAGATGTTATGCAAAATGTTATTTATATAAACAGATAAAGGTTCACTGGCAATTGAAATGTACTCAAAAGGTGCAAACATTTCTCTAAGAAAAATCTTCTTAAAGGAAAGAAGAATAACTCATTTTAGAGGGTACACATAAAGTAAAAGTACATGACCTACAAAACTACTTAACTACACTTTTCAGTAAGGGCACTCACAGAAAGCTTTCAACTATTCACTGCAGCAACAAATGTTAGTCACACCCTTAGTCAGCTACACTATTACAAAAGACAGTGTTGTAAAGTACCAGCAAAAATGCAGTGTTTTTAATTTAACTTGATATTAATTTATAAATGGCAGCATGACAAATACCAGAGATTTCCACCTCTGGTGAATACTGAACCTAAATACGATTTTGAAGTTTACTTGAGTATGTCCATTTTAAGCCTTATCGTCCTTTCTAATATACAACAATAATCTGACAGTTAATAGTTACCCTTCATATTTTACAATGAAAGAAACATTTATGCTAATAAAATACAAGCGTTACACCAGGGCTTTTTTTTTTTTGTTTTTGACCCTTATAAACAAGCGGTGTTTGGGAGGCCCAACCACAAAGTGGAAACCACTGGGCTACACTGCGAAACTATTCATAAACTATCTCAAACCTCAGCCCACTACAATAGGAATTATCGTTCAGTTTTAACAGTCAGATAATGTGCATGTTTACATAGTTTTAATGTGAATTGAAAGACAGGATGTCTAGAGCTGATGTGTGTCAGCGGTGCAGTACCTGGACTTGCTCTCACTACTGGTGCTTTCATCTTCCCAGTGGGGACCCCCAGCCCCTCCCTCACAGCCCCCAACTCCTGATGAAGAGGAGGAGGACAGGGGACGAGAGGAGGAGGAGGTGAGTGGCCGACGGGAGGAGAGGAGAAAGACAGCAGTCTCCTTGTACTCCTGCAGCGGAGGAGAGGGAGGGCGGCGAGGCCCCTCCACTGCTGACTCTGAACATGGGAGAAGAGGCAGAAAGAGAAAGAAAAAATAAATCCAATAACATTTTTATTTATCCCACAGGTGGCAATTATGTAGGCAGCAGAGCAAGTAAATATGAGAATAACCACTAATGAGGCACATAACCTGAAGAGCGTGCAGTGATGAAACATTGTAGCAAAGAATTCGCTTCATTTTTACAAGTACCACAGTTTATCACGTTCTCTAACTCCCTGAAAACAGCAGTCACTGGTAGATTTGTAGTCGTTTGTTGCTGTCAAGATGTGTTGACTGAAGTTGATTCTGTTCTGAGAGTACAGATAACTTTGGTTCTGGTTTTGCAGTGTTACCTGCAGCGTCAGCCCCGAGTGGCGGTGTGCCGATGTCGTAATTACAGAGCACTGTGGTCTGGGATTCGCTGGAGAGGTGACTGCCTGTGGACTGGTGGAGCGATCGACAGCGAGACGTGCGATGGCTCGAGCTGTCCGTTGAAGAGTCAGTACGAGTATCGCTAGATATGGATGGCTCCCGACCTGGTAGAGAACAAGAGAAAGGGAGGAGACTTTTTAGTTAATCCTGCAGCTCTATATGTTTACAGTAAAAGGCAGGTAAATAAGTATTGCAGCAAACAAAAGCAGAAGTTGGATTATAGGAGTGAAGGTTAGAGATTTAAAGCTTTAACCTCACATGCCCCCTGGACAGTAAACACAAAGCAATCTGATTGTAGCAGAGCGTGTCATCTTTGCTGTACCGGAGTCTTCACTGTCGTAACCGGCCTTGCTGCTGCAGTGCTGGAGCTCCAGCTGAGGGTTGGAGTTGGTACAGGGGTTGGGGTTGTCTTGCAGTACCACTGGTGTCCCACGGGGGTCAGCGTAGAGCAGCAGTAGGGGCTGATAGTGGCCTTTGATACAGCGGGACACCACGTCCTTCCACTTAGGGCCGATCTGGACGTGCAGCAAGGCAACACATAAATATAAATATATATGTATGTGTATATATACACAAATACACCCCCCATACACACACACACAAACACAAAAAGAACATAAGATATACTAAGATTGTACTAAGATACAACATTAAGCACATTCCACCAAATGCAGAAGGTCAAACACACACTGTGCTGCCATGTGCCCTTTTTTATTAGCTCAATAATCTAACAGTCTGCACTGTGACTGACTGTGACTGTCAAAGACCTATAGATGCACTTTATATCACACTGACACAAAAAACAAACCCAGTTCCCCTCGATTCATTCACTGCAAAATATTCTTCACCCCTATGGAAGATCACTCATGCTGTCATATAGTATTAAAACACATGCCCAGTTTTAGCACTGAAGCCTGTGCTAAGATTTAATCAAAGACAGGTATAACCGAACTTAAGCCTGAACTGAACGTACAGCCCTTATACAGTGTAGTTACTGTCATACTAGAGATGCAGCTGATACTGTACAGTACATCCTCCCTGTGTTGCAGCATGCAGACTCCAAACTGTGTCTCACCTCTTTGACGTGGGCGTCGTCGAAGTACATCCACTTGCGTATCTTGGTCTGGAAGAAGAAGGTGGAGTAATGCTTGCCGTAGTAGCACACCATGCCCACCAAGTAGAGCTCCGCCTGGCGAGCCCGCTCCTCTGTCACACGGTAGAACAACTACAGGGAGAGAGAGTAGGCAAGAGGGAGGGGGGGAGGAGGAGACCAGGAGGGAGGGAGAGATGCAGGGAGAGGTGTGCGGTAGGAGGGGAGAAAGAGACAGGGGTTAATGTGGCTGCATGTATGTTTTTGCTCACCTAGTATACAGTATAGGCTGAATGCAGTAATCCTTCACAAACTGCATTTTCTCAAACTCTTCACTTTGTATACTGCACACACTGCACAGTGCTGCTGCTTTTCATGCAGAAACAATGATTAGATCTGACACTGATGTCTCAGTCAAGTTAGCTGCTGCACATTTTATACACAGATCACTGGGATATAAGAGCCGAAACTGTTGGTTAAAATGTTAACATAACCTTCTGTATAATCTCGTTTTACTGTATTTTCCTGTCTTTACATGCTGCTAAAAGACCCATACAATTCAATACAGTACATCACAAATAATTTAGACCTGAAACAAACAATTACTTTCATTACTGATTATTTTTAGTCAATTACTCCTTAATGTAAATGTCCAAAAATAGCCCATAGCAAGTTCCCAGAGTCTAAAGTCCAACACTCAAATATGCTCAATTAACAATAATACAGTATAAAACAAAGAAAAAGCAAATCCTCACATTTTAGATGATGTTCAGCATTTTGGTTTGATAAATGAGTGACACTGAAGATTTGGTCGATTTAAATTGTCATTAATTGTTTCAACACAACAGTAATCTACTGCATGGAGGGTAAGGCCATTAGAAAGAGAAACAGTAACAAAGAGAAAAAGTGGGATAAAGGAGGCAGATGGATTCACTTTTTTCTGAATCTATAACTACACAAAAGCAGAGAATTCAATATATTATGCTTCTGATTCAATAGCTAACAACTAGCTTCACCTCACAAACACAAAGAAAACAAGAAACAGCAGCAGGCAGAGGAAAGAAAACAGAGAAGAGAACTTGAGTCACTTGAACACATTCATATTCATTGAAATATTATTCATAGAAATCACGTCAGAATGCATCTGGAGATGTTGCAGTCGCATGAAAATGCATCAGCATTACTGAGTCATGACACAAAGAATCAGGGGTCGAACACGTGTGTGTGTGTGTATGAAATGGTCATTCTGGTTATCAGGCTAGCACTTTTAAGAATTTTTTACTGCTTTCTCATAAAACTTAACTGATGGCAGTGCTAAGGAAAAGGGACCGCCAAAATCATTAGAACTCATCCTCTGGAAATCATTTCTTTTATTGAAACCACAAATCTAAAGCCGACTGGAGAGGCAGTGAGAGAGCAGGCACTTAGAACAACAAACGTGGTGACATTAATCAGTGACATTCATCTTACATTTACTAACAGCTATGACTCATTGGTAAACACTGTGCAAATACTGTAGCTCTTTTCACTAACAAATTTAGAGTATCGTCATTTTGGGTGTGCGTGCTTGGCTGCTCAGGAAGGCATGCATAATATATGTTAATGTGTTATTATGAGCACATAATGTGTATGAAATTAGTCTGTCTGTGATCCTCTTACATCTCCCAGACGCAGGCAGGTCCCCAGGCTGTGTATGACATCCTCCGCCAGGTCAGAGTGGTCTGAATCCCACACCAGCCCGATGGACACAATCTCCGGTGAGTTCATAAGCACACGGCGGATCCGTAAAACTTCCCCACAATTACTCTGTGATGGAGGGAAGTAAAAAAAATAAGAGTGTGATGAACAAGTTTATTCATCCTGTGTTATGGGATGCGAGTGTGGCAGTGGCGCAAACCACCCCTTTATTTGGCAGTGATGAACATGTGCTAGCATACAGCCACACACACTGATAAGGTGAAGAGTAGGAGAACGAGGGCCAGAGGGGAAAAGCAAGAGACAAGAGCTGAGGAAAGGACTGTAAAAAAGAATGACAGCGGAAGGGGCCCTGTGCTGAGCTGTATTTGTCCCTTGGGCCTTCTGTTGAGTTCAGAACCGTGTGTTCTGAGTCCTTCCTTTGAGTCATGACCCACTGCAGAGCTGACGCACACACACACAGAAGCATACGCGGCGCTGGCAGACAGGGCTCGGAAACAGCCCGAGAACACCGTGGCAACCAGACACTTTGCCAACCACAACACTCACACACACATATGCACAAACACATAGAGAACTCTCCCTTTGTGGGTGGCGGGCTGTCCTGCACTGGCACTCGAGATGGCAGGAAGGTATTTTGCCAGGGTCTGCTTCTCAGTTCTCAGAAAGGATGCAAACACAAGCCGTGGAGCAGCAGCCAAACAGCCCAGCACTGAGGCACAGACTATATGTTAGCTTAGGACATGTTGACAAGACACATAGCCTCAGTTAGTTCTCTGTGCTGTCTCACTGCTGAGAACAGCCACTGACAACATCATTTATCAAGTGAATATACTAACAGATACAATACAACAATACAACATACAATACAACATTGATCGGTGCAGTCTCATCTCTGAACTTCATATGCAAAGATTTCTTTCTTTCTTCCTGCTGTGGTGATGCAGACCTTTCCAAGAGAGAGAGTGTGAATTATAGGTATACTGTAATAGTGCTGCTGGTCAGAGGATACTGTGGGTTTGCAGAATGCTGATCTTGGCATCTGTCAGAGCAAAATGAAACAACTTTAGGAAAATGTTTGTGCTTATGCTTTGTCACAGCTCATATTTGAGATCCCAACACAAAGAGCACTATAGTAGTTGACTGCCTTTCAAAATCACTGAATGAAAGTGTGTGCTTAACCTTTGCTAACAATCTCAGCTGAAAGAAGCTAGCTTTGACTACCGAGTTGACCTGAATGATGGCCACAAAATGTATTAGTGAAATGTGGGAAAATTAGGTTGTTCAGGTTGCAAATCTCCTTTTACATGTTTCAAGTTTAGTCAAATGAGTCGCAGGTTATAAAAGTAATAAATACATAAATGTGTGTACAATTTTGAGATACTTGTACTTACTACTTTAGATTTGAGAGGGAAATACTCAAATTTTTATTTTTTTACATTTATTTATAAAATATTTTGTATATTATAAATACAGACAGTTTAGAAAATATGATGCACTGTTGCAAACTAAACTGCCCAGAATTATATAAAGTAGTTCAAATCGACTAATTCTCAAAAACCTACAATGTTAAAAGGCTAATTTATCATTAATGCAGCAAAAATACTCCAATGTCTTTGATATATTAAGTACATTTTGGTACATGGTAATACTATTGTACTTGTACTATACACAGAGCACCTGAAAGATTTGAAATCATCTGCCTCACAGACATTTCAAACAATCAAAAACTGTATAACCACAATTCCAGTTTCTTGTGTCAACTCTTTGGCACCAAGCAAAAATCCACCCACTCTTCTATCTTCACTCTGGCACCTACAGCATCTTCCAGCAGCCTCACTTCCATCTAAATACCATCACTATGTTTGAGCAAAGCCCAAGGTGCTATTAACAAAAGATCAGCACTGCAAATGATGGAAGATAAACAGAGACAGGTTGTGTGACTCCCACAGGACTGTGCAGCGGTTGGACAGAGAACAAACTGGTGTGTATTACTGTGGTTGCAGCAGTGGAGGTGGTGGTGCTGTGTGAAGAGAGGGGCAGCTGCTTGCCTGAGCCCAAATAGGAGGCTCTTTGAGCGGCCACTTTGGCAGAGAGGAGCAGATGAGCGGGGCCAAGCTGTATCTATTCAGCAGCAGCGCTTTATGTGTGGCAACACAACACACAAACCTACTTCTGTAGGTTTTATACACATCCCTCTGTCTACCTCCTTATGCCTACACTTCTCTCTTGTCCATTTTTCCTCTCTCATTGTAATGTTTCTTCGATGCTGCATTCTCTGTATTTACAGTTAGTCATTTTATCATTTTCACCCAAAAGAGCCCCAAGTTTTTTAAAAGGAGCATTTTGGTTGAAACTGATTTTTCCCTGCACACCCAAATGTTCTTTTTCTGCTGCAAGAACATGATGATCACAATGTGTTACTGTAAAGGAGGTCGTTGAGGACAACTCGAAAAATGTTTCCGGTAATAGAAAGTGGAAAGGAAAAATAGGAAGAAAATGCAAATGGGCTCATGATTATGTAACTCAAACCCACCATGTACGAAGGGAAAAACAGAAATGTGATGAAACTACCAAACCGGTTACATAGCAAATTGGCCAGGAAAGGGGAAATGTTTATATTTGTTTAGGTTTTATACATTGTGTGTGTGTGTGTGTGTGTGTACTTTTACTGCACCAAAGTTAACAGTATCAAGTGTACTATGTGCAAATTGAAATGTATATCTATGTGTTGTGTGAATGCGTATTTGTTCAGTGTGTGTACTCTCACAGGGCAGTTGCGCAGGTCTCCCATGTTGCTGGCGTTGCGGAGCAGCTCTCCAAACATGTCCGGTGTGGGCTTTTCTCTGCACTCCAGCATCCTCACAGCCTGGTTACTGCAGCATTGGACACAGCAAAAACAAAATCACACACTCAGTTAATGAATGCTTCCTCGAATGAGACCTGTTTATGCCCATTGTGACTTGTGGCCACTATAAATCTTCCTCCGATCCTTTAAATTTGTTAAGCTTGATTTGTCAAATTTAAATTTTCACAACAAAAATATCTATTAACAAATTAATAATTAACTTAAAGAAAAACACAATCATTCTTTTTCTTCCTTTTTTGTAACTCATAAGGCCACATAACAAATCAATGCTCCAATTATATCAAAACTGTATTGTGCAGTGGATGGCTGGAGGTCCCACACCTGTCTCCCTGCACAGACAGTCCTCCACACGTTCCCTTCCTATCTCAGGTTCACCAGTTTATTAAAAATGCATTAAACTAACAATAATTGCACTGTGTGACAAGAGAATCAAATATGTTACAGGCTATTCATTAAATTGAGAATGAATAGTCCAGTGTTAACAGACTGCTACGTGTCATGTATTATGCATTATATATGGCATTCATTTTTTTCATGTAATACACTGATAAATAGTGTTTTAGTCCAAATGATCATATGCACTGATGTACCGAGCTCTGGTTTACTTCACATTGAACATCCGCACCTGGTTACATACTAGCCAACTAAAATAACATTAGCTTGTTTACCAACAACAGGCAGATCTTATGTCTTTGTTAGATCGGCTCGAACACAGGGGTGAGCGAGTCACAAAAATATGACGGACCCAGGTGGCTGACTTCAGTGCAAGCAGTGCTAAGTTTAATTACAGTGAAATATAACAAGGAAATTAATAATCAGGTAGAAGTGGGACCGGGTGTCAAGCTGCAGAAGTGAATACAGTCAGTGGCTGAATGATGAGGAGAAGACCGGGCTGCGGATGCTGGGACTCACTCCTGGGCTGGTCGTGGTGGAAAGTACTGAGGAAGAACAGAGTTTGTACATACAGTTAGTAGGAGACTGTGCATCGACCTGCGTGGTGGAGAAGGAGCCGGGTAGAGGAGGTCCGTGGT